GCTTCCAGGAATCAGCTCCCTGGGCTCCAGGCTTATCACATGTCGAGGTCGCACTCCAACGAGGATCACGATGACCACTACGGCCAGTCCTACAGGCATGCCAAGAGGTCGAGGCCCAACTCGCCCAACTCGACAGCACCTTCTTCCCCAACATTCTCACACGACTCGCTGTCGCCCACTCCCGATCACACACCACTCGCTACTCCTGCTCACTCGCCGCGTCTGCGCCCTCATCCTGGCCTTGAGCTGCCCCCTTTCAGGAATCTTTCCCTGGGCCAGCAGCACACGACGCCTGCGCTGGCTCCGCTTGAGCCCGCTCTTGATGGGCAGTTCTCGCTTACCCAGACTCCTCCTCCCGCTGCGCCCAGGAGCAATGGTATGTCCTTGACCGACATCATCAGCCGACCTGATGGTACTCAAAGGAAACTTCCCGTGCCGAAGGTTGCTGTCCAGGATTTGCTTGGGCCCGCCGATGGGTTTAACCCAAGTGTCAGGAGCTCTTCTTCTACCAGCCTCTCTGGAACGGAGATGATGGACAGGTTATAAAGCAACATCAGCGAACAACCTTGGCTTTTGGAACTTGTTCGATAACGACGAATGATAACAACTAGCGGGAACTAGCGGGACGATATAGACGGGATGCAAAGTTTGGCGTTTGACGGATCGATTCCTCTCATCACATTTTGGGTTACCACTGGCTCTTGGCTAGGAGCTGGCGGTGGAGTACGGCTTTGCATAGAGAGCCTTTTGATCATTTTTGCTTGATACACTCGTCTAATAATTGTCGACCAAAAAGGGATGGATCATTTGGTTGGGCTCTTGCTAGCGGGCGAATGGGCATTGGAAACCGGACAGTCGGCGCAGCGAAATCATTTTTTTAATTGGTTATGGACAACTTGGGAACATTATAGATTTGGGGAGGCATACATTTGCGTTTGGGATCAGAAACTATTTCCTTTCTACATCTTGTGTTTCATTATACTCATTGGCGTGTTTTTTTTTTCTTGCGACGGGATAGACTTGGCTTCATCACATCATCTCCCATCTACTCTCCTCTGGTCATGGCAGACAGGCAGGCAGGCAGGAATATCAAAACAAGAGAGATACCTCTCCTCTTCAATTCGTCATCAAGCGGTTCAAGACAGGCAGATTTGTGGACGTGAACATGAAAGTCGGAGTGTAATCCTTAATGCGTCTGGTAAATAACCAACAGGGTGATTAAAGCAAACAACTGTAATACACTAGCTTACTCGGGGTATTGCACCCGTGTTTCCTCGAACAACAACGGTCCTTTTTTCCACTTGCTCGCATAGATAATGATTGTTTGATCTTGTTTTGATAAACCCCTTCCCCTTCCCCTTTCGCCTTTGAAGCGGTGTATCATATCATACCTACTGATTCTTGGTTATCGACACAGTAATCTTTCCTTCTGTGTGTGCAACTCGAGTGTGTCTCTCCCAGACTGTGTCTTCATTCATCCCACCGTGTGACACAAAGTCCAGTCCGTGGCTACGAAAAAGTTCGGGGCGGGGCGGGCTCTCCCCCCCCTCTCCTCCTATCTCTCATATCAAGGGGGGTTGAATCAAGTCGATTATCCATCCCATCCTCATCCGAAACGCTACTTTTCTTATGTCTTTACCCTGTACTTTTTACCCCAACTTTTTGGTGCTGATTAACAACCACACCATGCTACACTATACTACATCATTTCCGCACAACTATTTCACACTAATTACTTAGCGATTAGAGGAAAAGTAGGACTTTTTACCAACCTTCTTTTATAAAAGGGAGGGGAATTGTTCAATGAGATAATACTAATTAGTCGCATATCAAATCGCTTACTAATACTACGCAAAACTCTTTATTTATATTTATGACAGGCTAAGGTGCATATGC